TTGCAGAGATAGCGGTAGAGGTATTGCAGAGATAGCAGTAGAGGTATTGCAGAGATAGCGGTAGAGGTATTGCAGTGATAGCAGTAGAGGTATTGTAGAGATAGCGATAGAGGTATTGCAGAGATAGTGGTAGAGCTATTGCAGAAATAGCGGTAGAGGTATTTCAGAGATAGTGGTAGATGTATTGCAGAGATAGCTGTATATGTATAGCAGAGATAGCCATAGAGGTATTGCAGAGATTGTGGTAGAGGTATTGCAGAGATAGCGGTACAGGTATTGCAGAGATAGCGGTAGAGGTATTGCAGAGACAGCGGTAGAGGTATTGCAGAGATAGCTGTAGAGGTATTGCAGAGATAGCGTTACAGGTATTGCAGAGATAGCGGTAGAGGTATTGCAGAAATAGCGGTAGAGGTGTTGCAGAGATAGGGGTAGAGGTATTGCAGAGATAGCGGTAGAGGTATTGCAGCGATAGCGGTAGAGGTATTAAAGAGATAGCGGTAGAGGTATTGCAGAGATAGCAATAGAGGTATTGCAGAGATAGCAGTATACGTATTGCAGAGATAGCCGTAGAGGTATTGCAGAGATTGCGGTAGAGGTATTGCAGAGATAGCGGTACAGGTATTGCAGAGATAGTGGTAGAAGTATTGCAGAGATAGCGGTCGATGTATTGCAGAGATAGCAGTAGAGGTATTGCAGAGATAGCGGTAGAGGTATTGCAGAGATAGCGGTAGAGGTATTGCAGAGATAGTGATAGAGGTATTCCAGAGATAGCAGTATACATATTGCAAAGATAGCCGTAGAGGTATTGCAGAGATAGCTGTAGAGGTATTGCAGAGATTGCGGTAGAGGTATTGCAGAGATAGTGGTAGAGCTATTGCAGAAATAGCGGTAGAGGTATTGCAGAGATAGTGGGAGAGGTATTGCAGAGATAGCAGTATACATATTGCAGAGATAGCCGTAGAGGTATTGCAGAGATAGCGGCAGAGGTATTGCAGAGACAGCGGTAGAGGTTTTGCAGAGATAGCGGTAGAGATATTGCAGTGATAGCGGTAGAGGTATTGTAGAGATAGCGATATAGGTATTGCAGAGATAGTGGTAGAGCTATTGCAGAGATAGCGGTCGATGTATTGCAGAGATAGCGGTAGAGGTATTCCAAAGATAGCGGTAGAGGTATTGCAGAGATAGCGGTAGAGGTATTGCAGAGATAGCGATAGAGGTATTGCACAGATAGTGGTAGAGGTATTCCAGAGATAGCAGTATATGTATTGCAGAGATAGCCATAGAGGTATTGTAGAGACAGCGGTAGAGGTGTTGCAGAGATAGCGGTATAGGTATTGCAGAGATAGCGTTAGAGGTATTGCAGAGATAGCGGTAGAGGTATTGCAGCGAAAGCGGTAGAGGTGTTGCAGAGATAGCGGTAGAGGTATTGCAGAGATAACGTTAGAAGTATTGCAGAGATAGCGGTAGATGTATTGCAGAGATAGCGGTACAGGTATTGCAACGATAGCAGTAGAGGTATTGCAGAGATAGCGGTAGAGGTATTGCAGAGATAGCGGTAGAGGTATTAAAGAGATAGCGGTAGAGATATTGTAGAGATAGTGGTAGAGGTATTGCAGAGATAGCGGTAGAGATATTGTAGAGATAGTGGTAGAGGTATTCCAAAGATAGCGGTAGAGGTATTGCAGAGATAGCGGTATATGTATTGCAGAGATAGTGGTATATGTATTGCAGAGATAATGGTAGAAGTATTGCAGAGATAGCAGTAGAGGTATTGCAGAGATAGCAGTAGACGTATTGCATAGAAAGCAGTAGAGGTATTGCAGAGATAGCGGTAGATGTATTGCAGAGATAGTGGTAGAGGTATTGTAGAGATAGCAGTAGACGTATTGCATAGATAGCAGTAGAGGTATTGCAGAGATAGCGGTAGAGGTATTGCAGAGATAGCGGTAGATGTATTGCAGAGATAGCGGTAGAGGTATTGCAGAGATAGCGGTAGAGGTATTGCAGAGATAGCGGTAGAGGTATTGCAGAGATAGTGGTAGAAGTATTCCAGAGACAGCAGTATACGCATTGCAGAGATAGCCATAGAGGTATTGCAGAGACAGCGGTAGAGGTGTTGCAGAGATAGCAGTAGATGTATTGCAGAGATAGCGTTAGAGGTATTGCAACGATAGCGGTAGAGGTATTGCAGAGATAGCGGTAGAGGTATTGCAGAGATAGCGGTAGATGTATTGCAGAGATAATGGTAGAAGTATTGCAGAGATAGCAGTAGAGGTATTGCAGAGATAGCAGTAGAGGTATTGCAGAGATAGAGGTATTGCAGAGATTGTGGTAGAGGTATTGCAGAGATAGCAGTAGATGTATTGCAGAGATAGCGGTAGAGGTATTACAATACTGTTTAATATTTTCCCTAACACCTATTTTTGCTTGACCTTCTGATAGAGTGGTGATTTCAAGAAATTTGTTGTTAATCCCAGCCTAATCATTGGTCAATACAGACCATGTGACCCACATCATGAATGACATGCATAGTAATACTTGACCATTTTCTGACCATGTAGAAGTATTCCTACAGTCAAAATGGACTGCTAGGCGCCTCGGAAAGGACTACTAAATCGGCTAAAATTAGTATTGGAACTAATTCCAAGGTGTTGGTCTGTTGTTGGAGCGCAATCGAACACCAGCAATATGGGGATGGGGTTATATATTTCTGAATTGAGGTCATGATCGAGTAATGCCTAAAAGTAACGCCTGCCTATACTTGGTTTTACAGACGCGCATTGCCGGTCGATCGAGCGAGATCACGAAAACCTGGTCAGCTACTATGTATGGAGCAATATTACCGTTTATTTTCAACCTATCGTGTACCTGGAATAACAAAAGATAGTCTAGTATCACCCGGATGTAGTTTAATGCCTGAACCGGAACATATAATAGTAATTTGTAGAAACCAGGTACGTTCAACTAGTGTCTGTTATCCGACTAGATTTAGCTGAAGAATTAGTATTTTTGTATGGCTACTACAACAATATCATTCTAGACATCTGTGTAAATCAAATCTTGACTACAACATGATGTTCCTGTCTGTGATCTCATCCAAGAAATTTGATTTTAGTTTCTTATATTTCCAGTTCTTCGTCCTAGATGTCATAGTTAATTTTAAACGTTTAAGTGAAGAGAATTTATTAACCCAGCTAAAGCGAATAGTAACTATAGCAATGCAAGATGAAGAAGACCCGCCACCTGTTGGTATCCTAACAACAGACGGAAGACATGAATGGGCTGCATCAAGAGCACGACTTATGGAAGGTTCGTTTCGTAGATGACTTGTGGGTTACAGCATCACGTGATGTTTGTGTCCGAGTGCATCATACAGTATGCTGTTTGTTGCCAATCATTTATTTATCGCTTAAAACGGTCTCTAAATCTAAAAAAATGCTTGCACCACCGCGAGAGTGGTGATTGATTAAATATTTGAAAAACCTTGAATCCTGTAAATGTTGCATATTCGTTTGCAATGGCCATAATATAGTATATCAAGTCGTATAGTTAGTTGATCTTTCAGACAATTCAGTACACTGTAAATCTAGGTGTTTCAAAATATGACACATTTACAACTTAGGTTGGCAAGACCATATAGGTTGGTGCTTGACATAAAATTATTTGTTGAAGGTCATGTCATGGCCCATCTCATTATGTGCTGAATTAAATTACGTCACTTTCGATGATTGTCTAGTTGGCATATATATCATAATGTTTACTCACGAAGTGTTTTAATACTTCTCGCATGGTGTTTGATGCACTAGTCCCTGAATGTTCTATCAATAAACACTTCAATGACATATTTATATCCCCGTGTGTTTACAATGTGCTTCATTGGAATCAAAAAGTGTTTTAATAACTCCCTAAAATACTTGTCTAAAAACAATAAAACACTACTGTGTTGATAGAAAATACAATTATTTTAGTATATGATACACATGTTTTTAATTACAACAGTATGCTTTCAATTAAAACGGTGTGTTTTAATGAAAAACATGAAAGTGCTTCCATGATTTACAGTGATATTTATATTACTACAAAGGGAAAAATAGATCTTCCACCGTCTTCAGGAATTTTAGGAAAGACATTTGGGCACTATTAATGTGCAAATACTATATATGAAATTAATGTGATAAACTGTACTCACTAAATCTTCTTCACCTTTAGATTCCACAAACCGAGATTCGTTGGATATGATCGAACGATGTATATTTATGGTATGTTTAGACCAGTCGTTAGGTTTCCCAATGACCGATATCGACAAACCAATCGATCAAGACGATGTCCACATGGCTCACCAGATGCTTCACGGTGGTGGCAGTGATAAGAATGCAGCAAATAGATGGTACGACAAAACTATGCAGGTACGAAACATACATTTTAGTCTTCTCAAATGTTTCAAAACTCAGCTTCATAATTTTTAGCTTTTCGATGACACTGATTTTTCAAGAAAACTTTTTATGTTCGTATTATACAAACTGCTATGTTAAGTGTATATCAAAAGGTTGTTAAAAATAAAACATATTATATCAGTGATCGATGAAAGTAGGTTAAATAATGAATTCTTGACACTAAAATTTGCATTATATTTCTCGTTCCATTAGTTCATTGTTAGCGACGATGGTGCGGCAGGTCTTGTATACGAACATTCGCCATCGGAAGGTGTCGCTGTAGTACAACTTATAGAACATCTACTGAAATATCTGTAAGTAAATTCCCGAGTGGGTTCATTTGTATTTGTTCATATAACTCAATAAAGCTCATGGTGGGCGTTGTAGAAATGCGCATTTATGTCGGGTATATCGATAATACATGCAGAGATTGCCAGATGATGAATTTGTGTACACGCCGTAAAAAGTGCAGGTGCCCTCTGTTGGCGAAGTGATGAAAGTGTAAAATGCGTATAATATAAAAGCAAATAATCACAAAACTCAAACTCCGGGATCTGGCTGTGTGTAAATCTCATTCAAATAGATATGTTGTACTGGATATACGATTATTGTAAATAAGTCTAGTCAAGCAGGTTGGAATTAATTAATAAATTGTTTTTTTTTTCTTTTCTACACAGAGATTCTGATACGAGAAAACGGAAACTTCTCAGAGCGCAGTCGATATGTGAATTACCTTATCCGAGGAAGCTACGCTGGAAACTGCTTTCTCAACAATTTTACGATGATTGCGAAATTGCCAAACAAAAAATTGATTTGTAAGCTTACATCTCTGCCAACTTTTCATACTTCGCCATTTTTACGACACATGGTGTTTTAGACCGAACGATGTAAAGTGAAGCTCAAACCAATGAACACGATTCTATAATATTATTATTGCCGAGATGACGCAAAAGGTAACCTATTCCGAAACCCTCAAATTGAATGTTTCATATTTCTTTCTCATAGGCTTGCAGAGGATCTCGATCTACAAATAACAAGATTTACGGATTACGGGAAGAATTTCCCCAAATCACAAAATATGAGTCCAGATGCTTACATCCAACTTGCTTTACAAGTCGTATATTACAGGTAAATATTTTTCTTATTCTTGAAAGCATGTTTTCATTTACTAATAATACCAGACAGATTTTAATTAGTATTGAATCAGTCGATGTTGACGATTCATAGAATCCTGTTTTAAAATTTCGATTTACTTTTCTTGCACATTCTATAATTACGTAATTGATGGTGGTAATAAGTAATTTACAGCGTGAAAATGACTTTTAGGTACGTACCGAAATGTTAGTTGCCTTCAAAATGTGTATTGGAATAAACAAGCTTGTATATTTTTGACGTAAGTATTGTACAACGATGAACATCGGCTTCATATTTCTCTTTAAACCTTGAAATCAATTGCAAGATATACTGATTGAATGGTATACCGAGATATGAAATAACAGACAACATCACTGCACAGTATTTTTTTCTGAAACAATGTTTGTTTTACATTTTAAAGAGTCGCGTGTATCTCATGGTGTTTCATTTTAACATGTACATATAATTTATTTCTGAATGTTATCAAGTGAAAACAAAAGGAAAATCATGTCCACATGCGGTTGTTATCACGCTGGAGATACATAATCAATAATTTTGATAATATACGTTTAAATATTTACAGAATGCACGGCCATCTAACACATACATATGAGAGCGCCTCCCTGCGGCGTTTTCAGCATGGAAGAGTCGACAACATCAGGTCTGCGTCAATGCAAGCACTTTGGTTTGCCGAGACAATGAGTGGTAAACGTTATGCAACGGTAAGTCACGACTGTAATAGTTAGGAACTCGAATTATTTAAAGGGAATGCTATTGCAGACATGCCAATGTACCCCTGTTTGCATGACGTTCAAATCACTTCTTTTGTCTGCAGCTTCCAAGTAAGTGTTATTGGTAATTCCGAGATTGCGGATCTTGCACCATCTTGCATTGTCAAGTGCTTGGCGTTGCAAAAACATACGCATACAATTGCGGTACGTGCTTTGCATTATGGCATCCGCTTATTGACCACATCATATTTTCAGAAACGTTAATGCATGTTTTGTGTATGTTCTGTTCGTAGGTTCATGAAAAGAAACAGCTAATGAGAGCCGCTATTGATCATCAAACGGAATACATGGTGCAGGTAAGTGCGAAGTATATAATCAGTGTTTAGCGAAATATACAGTGACAATGCCGAGCTTCTTGTATATCTGCGCTGCATGCCCACAAAAGAATTTCCCCCGATAAATGATTAAACTTGTTTTAAATTGTAAATAAGTCGAGTGACAATCAATTTGTCGATTAACAAATTTACTTATACGAAATCCAAATTACCCGGATTCAGTTGTAGCAGTTGCGCTGTGACAACGTTTTGTTCTGCTCTCAAATCTTAAAATGCCTTGAGATATGTACGCTTTAATGGCATACTAATTATGGTGCTTCACTCAAACCGACACCCCATATATCTCATTGTCGCCATTTTCCGTTTAATGTGTGCACTAATTAACACATGGCATAAAAGCTACAGGAAGCGATAAATAGATTATGTAGTAGACGTTTTTTTGTAATCGGTGTTCCGAACTATTTATCCACAGATAGCTATACGTTTAGAGTAACGGGCCTCCATCGTGAACAGATGAACGGTTATATTTGTTTGTATGCAACATGTCGTCCAACTTTATAAAATATTGGACTTAAGTGTTATAATCTACATACGCAATCTAGACCAATCAGCATGCTTCATTTGCAGTTTTATATTAGACCAAAAAAAAAACTTATGTCGAAAAATTTAAAAATTTGGTAGGTCGGTCGCTTTTTTTAAAAAAAATCGTGAAAACTAAGAGTATCGTAAATAGCCAAGGTATGTGAACTTCAAAGAAATAGAGATCAACCCGAGGTTCAAATTCGCCACTTACGGGGACTCTGGGAATCAAAAAAAAAAACGGTCCGGGATCCTTAATTTTTTGAGGAAACACTTTTTTACTGCTTAAAATGAAGAGTTTTTAATATTTGGGCCCATTAAAAAAAAAAAAAACGCGACCCGATATTTCATATTTTTCGGTCGGTCGCTGAGGGCAACAAAACAATCTTTTTTGGCATTATGTATTTCGTCTTTCTTTTCTGCTTCATCTTCAAATTTCAATCTATAAATTTGTGAGTAATTTTTTGTATAATTGAGAACATTTTTCTTTCAGACTATTCTAGGCTACGGCGTAGACTGTCATCTCCTCGGTTTGAGGGAACTAGCGAAAGAACTGAAATGGCCGACACCAGCAATATTCGCAGATGTAGCCTATAGAGACAGTAACTTGTTTCCATTATCTACCAGTCAAGTACGTATCACTATGTATAATGCATGTATCTGTGTGTTTGTGCACAGGACCGTGGTTTGTGATAGCGTTAATTATTTCGATAATGAGTCGTACATTGTACTTGAATGGACAGGTATTTCAGAGGCAACATCGCACAAAGTAATGTTTACCCGATTATTACATTCACAACGAAATGTAGAAAACAAAAACTAACGACTTGTGTTCCTTGCATGTGCCTTCACAGTTACCGGAGCGATCTCCTAACTCGTATCTGCCTCTGAATTGAGTTGAGCCAATCAAAATTTACTGTATTCTACATAACACGCAAATGAATTCGACAGAAAGAAAATTACCGCCCGTTTTGTTTTCATCATCATTTCGCATTTTCTATAAATTACTTTTGGGAAGCTAAACTTTCACGTCATCAACCTTTCATTTTAGGCAGATAACAACATTTCATTTGACAGGCTAAATCTTTAAAACCCGTAAACTTTTTATGGAAAATTCACCGTAATTTATTCCCAAAACATCAACAACAAGGTTTCATTTCAATATTGTTTTAAATGGCGCTTTTAATTTTTCTGGATATAATCCTGCTGGAAAAGACAATGCTACCAGAACTCAATGTCTATCAGCGACGGTCTCGTTTCTTAGTGTGAATGCCTACGACCGTGTCAGTTTGTTAGTACATGTGTGCACCGCATTCGACCAACCCACCAACATATACTTCGCATGGGAAGTTGTTTGTTTTGCGAATCAGATATAAGGTATTATGTAACACTGATCTAGCACACATTTCCGAGAATGTTCGGTATTACATTTTCAATATATTATTTGTACTAAAACCCTAAGAAGTTAAACCGCCAGAATATAATGTCCCGTGATACATTACACGCACAAATGGCGACATCATAACACCCAGAATCCCCTGCGCGCATATGCAATCGTCATATCGTTTGTTGCACACAAGAATGAACATGTGATGTGGAAAATGAGGTAGTGTTACCCACTCCCTAAATTCATTGCTTCGATGACCTATAGCTGACGTCATAGCCAACTCAATACCATGATGCATTTCACTAAAGGATATAGTGTGATATTTCGGTATTTAGTGGATAAAATCGCAACTGAAGTGGCAAAGAGATGGATAATATTCGCTGACTGCGAAATATTGGTCAGATGTCGCATATTTTGTTCAGGTGATGTACGCACATCTACTCGCAGTATGATAAGTGTTGCGCTGAGCTCTGTGTAGAGAACGCTTATTGGTTGAATGTAAGACACGGCCTTCAATGAATAAGAAGTCTATGTTCATTCTATATAGGTTATAGAATGACAATCGATCTATACAAGTGAGTGGGCATACCAATTCTACTCTTAAAATGATGAAACCATCATTGCTGCGGTCAGTGCTGTCTGAAAGTCGAACAAGAGGAATGCCACCCCCCACCTTCGTCTACACTTTATATGGTCTACTCATTTGCATCATGTCCCTTTTATGGTCATTCCCACACCTTATTTGTACATTCAGAGCCACCAGATGCTCTTCACATACTTATTAGGGGGAAGGAGATCCTCTTTCCCTACAGAAAAAAAAAAATAACTTGGCTATTACATCATTGGACACACACCGACGAACTATAGTAATGTCATGTAATTGCGCATGCACACAAATGATTTTGGATGTCCTTTGGCAATGTTATGTCACCGTCATAATGCATCGTGTGGAAAATGAATTGCTTGCCGGGCGACAAGTTCTCATATACTCGCGAGTGACATATCTGCACGTGTTAAAGTTTGGTAAATAATAGTATAACTACCACTGAATTCTTCATTTCAACTACTAACAGAGAACTGTAATTTGTATTTTTATTTCATGCAGGTGTTAACAAGATTGGATTGTTTTATGTGCTACGGTCCCGTGGTACCCAACGGCTATGGGGCAGCATATAACCCACATGAGGACTACATTCTCTTTGCTATTACTGCACTGAGAAGCAACCCAGAAACCAGCTCTCTTGTGTTTCGCGAGACCCTTAATACGGTACTGCTCGATATGCAGGAATTGCTGCTTAGTCCATCAACTAATGGCGATTGTGAGTGCAATGGACACGCTGAAATAAATGGCAAAGAAAATGGAGAATGTCACTGAACACAGACAGTATCTTACGCAATAGCTAAAGGGTTTGGTGTTGTTATATTTAAGCATGGTTTTGCTGCAATAAATTTCCTGTTATTGTGTGTCATTTCAATATGCAAATTAGGCAGTTGTTAATTCATGTGATCTGTATCAGAGATTTGAGAAAACAAATTTCATATTTTGTTAATCTGTTCATTCATTGAACTTTTAAACGGTATTATGCGTTCATTCAATCTAAAATAAGCTCTATTTCCTAGCTATATTTTGTAATTGTTGATGAATATCATTCCAAGTGTTTGTTATAGTTTGTTTTCCATATATTCTTTATATAATAATTAATATAAGTCACACGAATCTATTTTGCATATTGAATTGGTTACCAAAACTAATATTTCAACAATTGCATTCATGTGGGAAAAACGATACAGGAATCCAGTAGACAAATGTGTTCCCTTTGCGATTCATTTCTTTTTTTATTGGCTGGCTTGATTGATATTTTGTTGAACAGATTTTGAAATGCAATGATTTCATTTATTTTATGTTAAAATGTTCAGTATTTGGTATACACACGTAGTTAGCATGCCAAGCAGATGAGGGAACATAATTTTGCAGCTGACTTATGATTCTTACCCGGGGTAAGGTCCTATTTTCCCCCACGATTACAACCTGCAGTACTGAGAGTTTAACGTAAGCATGTTTGCTTAGTTGATAGACAGGTTGTTTTCTGTCAGTTTAAAGTTGATTACTAAGAGAATATGACCCATAGCCCCTAGCTGACACTTGACATAGAGCTCCTGCATTAGCCTGAGTTGCTCTGTCAGCTTAATCGAAAGATTAAATCTAACAGTATTCAATGTTTGTATAGTATGTGGCCTTATGATGATTATAATAGTGTGCGACACGGTGATTATGCATCTGCCATGCCCAAATGCTATGCTAGATGCATTCAAAGATGGTTTGAATTCTGTGTTTACCCAATCCGTAAGAGTATATTGATGTGGGTATGACGTTAAACAGTCAGCAACAAAATCCGATTACATTTCTTGGTATAATGTAAATCACTTCACGCCAGTGTAAAAGGTCACGTGAATTTGGGAAATGGCAGGTAATACTCACGTGTCAAATTAGTTGATTGTTTCACAATTATAGTTAGAGGGAAGGTGATTTATATTTGATAAACTATGCTGTATCTGGCAACAAACTAGTAGTCATGCTCTCCATTTTGCAGATACATCACGGTTGAACAAATTAATCACGAGTTTCGCGCATTCGCTAAACAAAGCAAATTTAAAAAAGCTAATTTACAAATAATTTGTGCTCATTTAGAAACATATTTACCTTTATTTACCAGTTATACTGGCACTAACTCAGTCAATAATTTACACATTTAAACTGTAAATGAAATAGCTTCTTGGTGTAAGTATCGTGTACAGATGATTCATTTCGTGTTGGAAAGTGAAGAATAAAGTGAATTTTTGAGTTTAAATAATTATGTAAATATTTGTCTGATGATAAAATTTGGTTGGTCTAGCAGCGAGACATTGTTCAGAACGTAAACAAAGTATTAATAGAGTTGCCACGGTTATAGTTTCTGTAACTAGTCTCCTGCTGCCATGGTTATCTTGAAAAAAAAGCAGTTGTGTGTCTGCCCACGCATTCATGAACTGTATATGCACTAGCTGGGAGACCTGTTGCTGATATTGTTGATGAAAACAATTACACCGGTATATTATTTTTTTTTCTCCTAGAGATTGTGTTGGAGGAAAACATTATTTCCGAGTATGTCGTCTACTGAAATTAAAACATTTGTGGTCACAAAAAATGGGAAAATTGACAAATCTTAATACTAAATTTCTTTGATTTTCGTATAATTGTGGTCAATCTCGAGCTACAATCATTGCCCATGTTAGCAAATTTGTTACCCAAATTTGCGGCACAACCCTTCATATTTTAAACTAGAAGTCCATTGTTTATTTTGTGAATGGCAAAACACTGGTAGCAGGTCATCTGGCGAGAGTCAGATGAGATGGCTTTCAATTCAATGGTATACAGAGTTATGGCATGTTACTGAGCAAATTATTTAATCATAATTGTACTTAAAGAGCAACTGGGCGTAGTTTTATTATATTAAAAGGTGCTGATAATGCCTGTTATTCTGCTGTGATTCATAGGACGTATATAGATATCGTCTCGTGTAGTACTTACTACTTGTATTGAGTGCCTCCAACATGACAAGTTGACAACGTTCACGCTGAGGGTAACAAGTGTGCGTTAGTGATTTAATAATAGAATGTAATTATAGTAAATTGCCATTAGGTCAGAAACATACACCATTTGTAAATGAAATACAGAATTCGACATGGATATATATATATTACATTGTCTTGATCAATGTCGAAGTTGGAGATTTTTAAAACTAATTCCCAGTTTTTGGTTTATTGTATTACGTCACTTCCACACATACATCACAAGTAGAGTAGCCTAGCTTTTAGAACAAACAGCGTGAAAGTTGTCAATACGTCATCAAAGGCTTTTCATAGATGACTATATAAAGTCATTCTACAATGTATTAAAAGCAATAACATGAACGACTGTGATGCATGAGGCGGTGGTGGCGCTGTTAACCCCAGTGTACACTTACGCACTCTGTGTTTTATATGTGGTAGTAGTATAAACATGTTAACCTGTGCTCAACGTTCAGTAAGCGTAATGAAAACCTGACCCACTGCCCTCATTTGATTGGAACTTCTTCTTAATACACAATTAGGGCTTTAGTAAAACAAAATACAATGCACAGTGCATTTATTTGCTAGGCTTATGCTGTGGACTGAAGGTGTTTGAGGTATATATTATTAGAATAGTGTGTTCTTAACATGGCGACGCACTGATTAATCAGTAAACAAGTTAGAACAACACTTCTAGCAAACTAGCGAAATATTTCACAAATTTAAAAACAGATAATATAATAGGTCCGCTTGTTTTGTGTATCAACCGTACTTCACCAAATGGTAGTCGTGCAAACCTTTACGAAAGTCATTAATGATACAACGAGTGGCAGTTGAAACATAGGTGTGTTAGAAATAAAGTAGACAGGTAACACGACATGGTGATAGAGACACCTAACAACAGCAGCATTATTTGGTATGGTTTTAAAAAGTATTCATATTTGTTCATCTTATTGCACGTCCACAAAAGTACTAATTTAGCTTGAATTGCTTGTCAATTGAACGACCATTGTGATGTAAACAATGTATGTAATATAATGAATAAAGAAAATGGTTAAAACATAAGAGTACATTTCTGGTGTTATTTTGATTTAAGTAATGCATTATTGCAAATGGAACTATATCGCTGGTATATCTGTGTGTATAGCTCACAACGTACAATTAATTTCAGGTCTAGCAAAATGCGCAAATATTCAATAGTTTTATTTTCTATGATAGCAGACTTAAAGCGGTAGGGTCGTCACCTGCGCACACGCGGGAATTGAGTCCCACGCGACAATAACACACGCTAAAACGCAAAGGCTCATGAGTAGACGCTCGTTTGTAAACAATGAACCTTCTATGGCCATTTGACGCATGCACAGGTGACGACACCCCCGCTTTAAATGCAACGTAAATGGGTAATATTTTGTAATTGATGTAACGTGTCTCATGCCACTCAACAATCAACTACTATAGTTTACGTTGAGTATTGAATGTTATTTGAACTTCACTAATGCAGTGTGTCTACAAAACAACCATACTACACAGATATAATGTCATAAACAGCCATGACCCACCATGATCTGATGAGTATTTCTGTAAACGTACATCGCATCTTCATTTTCTGAAGTACATTACAACCTATTCCGGCAGTATTACTCGATCCATAACGCCGGTTCAAAACATGACATTTCCTTACGTAACCATCAACCCTCTAGGCAACTACATAGTGGGCATCGTCTGACCAATATAGAAGTTCATATGTTTAGATTCACTACAGTCTCTATGCCAACCCACATAAACAGTTGGTATTTGGGATTATGTTACAGACATGATCCTTCATCATAATGGCATTGAGTTGTATTGCATTAGTACGATGTCAACAGGTACAGGCAATCAACTGTAGACTTTTAAGCAAAAGTTCGTGTCCATCAGTTAGCGAACGGGGAATCTTAACCAGTCGACCAATTTTAAAGTTAACCTTCAACTAAGAAATCTAGATCATGATTTCTCTTCACCAGTGATTGGCTAAAGCTGATATTTAACATGTTGTATTATCAGCTGTTTATGTCAACGTCTAGTATAGCAATGTATAAATAATGTATAATCACAAAATTGATTATTTAGCGAAATAAAATGAAACGGAACATGAAAGTTCTTGCTCAAAGCTGAATGTCTTTTATTTTAAATTATTTGCAACAACTGTGGGAAAATACAATTTATAACAATTTGTATATATCAACTCTTGAATAAAGTACTTATATAGCAGTAAATCTGTTGTAATTGTATATAAATATTAGACAGTTATAATTGGAAATGAATTCAATGGCAATAAAAGTAAAGCTGCAAAGATTTAACAAAAAAAATGGATATACATTACAAATCTAAAATTTCATCATTTGTTTCACTTTAAATCCATGATATAATTTACAATCGATATATACTTAATTACTACATAGCCAGTAGTGTGTTTTGTCAGCACTTTGGACAGTGAAGCATAGATAGAAAGCTAGGCTATAAACCAGGTTGTTCTGTTTCTATAAGCTTTGCTTCTTACAATTGTGAAAATCAGTTAAAATGTACTGTATATTATCTACCTCCGTATCAATGTTTATGATTTGTTAAAGAATTTATATCATATTAGACCGGATGATGCCTTTGAGTGATAGTAAACAAAATTGAAATAAAATAAAATTCTAAGAAAAAAGTACAAGTTA